AAAAATATATCATTTAAGTGAACTTTTAACGCAGTCGGGTTTCTTTAAATTACTGATGAATTGTTTATGTTAAAATTTTACAGAGACAATCGCCCGCGTATCAGATACGAACTACAACGACGTGTTCAACCATCACTTGCTACGAGGGGCGCCGGTGATTGTAGAAGACGCATTCTACGATTGGTCTATTACTCGTTCGGAGCTTAACCTCACCACCTTCATCGGCGACGATGATCGCCTACGAGACTCGGTACCCTGTAGGGTCCTCACCAACATCAGACTTGGCCGACAGCCAATGGACCTAGAGGAAATCGTTTCCCGAATAACCAATACAAAGATACCCAGCTGGTTTGTTCACTTCCAGAACTGCGATATTCGTGCTGTGAAGTCATTTAGAATCCTTGCACCCAGGCCGTATTTCCTGTCGCCACATATCCCGCCCTCTCATTTCAACTGGCTTCTACTATCCAAAAACTACGACACGTACAGACATAAGTTCCTTGAATTGGACGTAGGGTTGATTATAATGTCTCAGCTGAAGGGAAAGAATTTTGTGCAACTCAAGCCCCGAGCGCCTTGCCAAGACATCTGTTACACATTGAGCTTTGAATTGATCGAAGGTGAAACCCTGGTGTTGGCCAACTCGCTGTGGGAGTTTGCGTATGTCCCGGGAAAGGGGGAGAATGTTGCAATGATAACTGAAACCGACTGGTTGGAGTCATAATGTAGCAACATATTTAAACGGCATGTTGTTTAAAATCGTGGTAAAAATTCGGTCTATGTAAGATTTGCTGTTGTCAATGAAAAATTTAAAGTAAAAATATTACAATATATTACCTTGCTTAGCGGGTCATAAGTTCAGGCTCAAATATATAGTAAAACTAAGTATGTATGTGTATAACGTGAAAGTGTTAAACCAAATTAATTTAACAAAAACTTAACCAAAGTAAAATTAAACATGTTAAAATTATTTATATAAAAGATCCACGTAAAAAATTAAAATAATGTTCCCAACAACACCACACTAGGAATGACACACCACTGACGACAATACAAGTACACAAGGAAAGACATACCACTGACTACAATACGACAACTACACTAGGAAAGACACACCACTGACGACAATACGACAACTACACTAAGAAAGACACACCACAGACGACAATACGACAACTACACTAGGAAAGACATACCATTGTCGATAATATGACACGTGTTTCGCCTCTAAAAGAGGTATCATCACGTGAAATAGAGATCGTATTATCGATGATTGTGTGTCTTTCCTAATGTAGTGATTTTGGATAGTGATTAGTGTTGACGGGGATAGTGCACGCAACTGAGGGAGAGTGGGAGGTGCTCTTCAAACTAGGTAAGACATCTTCATCAGGATCTTAGTTAATTAATTTTAATAGTAATATTTAAACAAAAACATATATATATTATCATTTCAGCCCTTCACAAGTCCACTGCTGAACATAGGCCTCCCCCATGGAATGCCACAAAGCACGGCCCCGAGCCTCCTGAATCCATTGACTTTCTGCATGTGTTACCAGGTCGTCACTCCATCTAGTGGGGGACGCCCTACACTTTGCCTGCCGGTACGAGGCTGCCACTCGAGAACCTTTCTTCCCCATAGATTGTCAGTCCTTCGAACTATATGGCTGGCCCATTGCCACTTCAGCCTACTAATTTTTTGAGCTATGTCGGTTACTCTAGTTCTACTGCGGATATCCTCGTTTTTAAATTCTATCACGCAGAGAAAGGCCGAGCATAGCCCTTTCTATAGCTCGCTGAGCGACTTTGAGCTTCCTTTAATTAAAGATGTTTCTAGGCACTCTGCATTTTTATGCGGCTCAGAGCTGCAAGACGATTGTAAGTTTTGACGTTTTACGTTTGGTTATGTATTATGTAATGTATGTGTTATAAATCGATGTCTTTATATAAATGTCTTTTTTTAGGTTGCAAAATATTATCCTTACCGTTACCGCTACAGCCTATTAAAGTCCACTGTTGAATCTAGGCCTCCCTCATAGATTGCCTAATATGAGATAGTTGCCATAGTTGCCACTCTTGGCAACCGCAGTTATTTTTAGTCGTTACTAGGAAGACGCTACTCCCCATCTCCTGATTTCCCTCTGTCGCCTTATACGACACCCACGGAACGATATGGAGTAGTGGATATTCTTACACCGACACTACATCTATTATATACATATATTATCTATCGTCACATTTATTGTAGCTCTCTTCCATCATTCTCAACCGTGTGCCGTAGAAAATTTGTATTGTGAGATATAGAACTTATGACTCGACGTTTTCAAGAAAATTTTGGTGTAGATTTTAAAACTATATTATATCAAAACTTTTAGGCAAAATACAAAATAATTATTCAAATATGGCTATCACTATATCTCTATCGCTATCGCTGGCTTAGTAATTAACAATAACACTAATTTGGGTAAATAGTATAATTATCATAAAAATAATGAGGTATGATACGGAGGGGATTGAAATAAAAATATGATTAAAAGAAATATATATTATTAAAGTAAGTTAACTGCCGCACTCAAAGTGGATTAGAGGTTCCTCACAAAAGTATAAAATCTATATAAAACGATTTAATATATTATGAAGCGTCTAGAGTTCGGTAGATAGTTAAATATTTGATAATATACTATTCACACTTGACCAGGGGTGTCACTTCCACTATGGAAGGTATGGAGCACTCCATACCTCAAGTTTTTCAAGGTATGGAATTCCATAGCTGAAATTAGGAAATAAATCGCATATTACTACAAACCCCATATAAATAAATCGCAAGCCCTTAAACCTCAATACCCCACATCTTATAGTTCAATAAATAAGTTGAGTATATACACTGCAAACTCTTAAACCTTAATACCCCACGAGTAATGCGAACAAATTTGAAAATCGCGCCACCATTTTCCATACCTCAGATTTTTACAAAGTGACACGCCTGCACTTGACGGAAAAAATTGCGTAGGTTGCCTAAAATATTTAAAACTACAAAACTTTGGCATAGTCATAATATATTATTTAAGTGACCAAAACAATTAATATCATTTAAATATCGGACCTAAATCGAGACTGAAACAAGTTGGAACATATCAACATCTCTCCGGCATACGATCTCAATTTCAAAACGTTTTTAATATTTAGTATATTATGTAATTAAAACACTTCATATTATCCTGCACTGTGACTTTGATATACAACACGTGGATTACGCCATGTATATGAATTGTCTTGAAAGCGGAAATAGCATTAAAAGTTTTTGAATATATAAATATAAAATGTAAAAAAATAACCGAAATTTAGCTGTTACTGAATACTTTTATTAAAATATTACGAACACTGTTGTAGTATTGCAAGCTTTGAAAATAGAGATATCTGCACATGCACTTGCCAAGGCTAGGGCTAAGTATAAAAAGTAATTTTATTAATTTATTAATTTTTAATTGATATATAACACTAGAAGACGTACCAATTTTATGATACTTCGAAAATGGAGGGGAGGGAGGGGGGGTTGTTAAATGCTACTACTACGCCACGCTGGATGGATACTTAGGTGGAAGAAGAACCCTATTACCTAGTAACCATATATAACTTATGGCTGATTATGGTTATAATATTATGATCATTTTGGAACGAAGTTCCTTATCGGATGGTACGGGTTTGGCGGATAGGAGCTAGGCGACAAAAAGTGTAAGATTTTTTCGTCCTCCCCTCCCCCCCTTCCTACCCCTTTTGTCATAGTGTATTTTATTTTAAATGACGCTTCATTGTAATAGGCGCTAGTAATACATTTATTTGTATTTCTTAATCAATAATATAATACGTTTATCAATAATAAGGAACTTCGTTCCAACCGAATGTTCCACGACACTCACGCATGTTTTTTTATATTTATTATTCTTATCGCCATTTTCTTATTAATTTGTTTGTATTATTTGCCTCTGAGGTTATAACCTTAGTAGAAATAATACAATCTTTAATTAAAAAAAAAATATTTGTTTATTGAAAGTTGTAAAATGTTGTAATTTTCAGTTTTGTTAATCTTCTTAAGTTTACATATTTCCGCTTTTAAGACAATCTCTGTGTCGCTATATTATATTATAGTTATATTGTATAGAGTTTAAGAAGTTTAAAATGAATTTTGATTGTGACAAAGTACCTCAGTATTACATATTAATAAAACGTAATGTGAAGCAATCAGTCTTTTATTTTCCTAAGATTTTAAAGCTTAAAACATGTTACTGCTTTTTCGTTTAATGAGTCAGTAAATTGAATGGCTAATCCAACGCTGCCATTAAATTAGCTAGCGTAACTTTTAGTCGAATAAAATGTTCATATTACCATACGAAATACCATGACTGTACGAGGCTAGCTATGCACGAGTCTAGATGCTGCCCATCTCCTATTTCGTTTTCCCTCTGTTGCCTCTTATCACACCCATGGGTTATTTTTTTTTCTAGAATAAAGGTGACAAACGAGTACACAGTAATTATATGCTGTGGCTCATAAACATGTATATCTATCTTCGATAAAGTATAAAAATGTAGACACTTTAGTCATCCCCTGAAGAATACAATGGAATGTCTCATTACCAGCTAGAAGGGTTTCCGGTTTTCTACATTCACAATACGAAACACAGCAGCATAAAGCAGCTATTTCACACTGGTATTCTGTGAGAGCGCGATCCTTACCCGGTCGAGCCGACCCAATCATGCTGCAACCATAATATAGCTGCCACGTGGCTACTACCACGAGACGTATATTACTATTTTTATTGAAGCTATCTTATCTGTGTAAAAATGATAAAACGTCAGCAATATGTAGCAAAATCAAAGACAATTTTTAATCTGTAAAAGTATTTATTTCACTAAACCAAAACTGGCAGTGTTATGAATTGCTATTATAGGTAAATACGCAGATTGTTAAGTTTCATAACATAACATTATAGTAATATTTTGTGACTAGTCCATCTTCTCCTTGTGAACAGGCTTGCCTCGTAGCCACATCAGCAAGTTCTTAAGCGACAACACAACCGGGAACATTATTGGTAGAAACAGTGGAATGTAAATTGCGTATCTGTAATGTGAATAATATAATAATATTACCTTTATTGCATACTTATGAATAAGCGCACGAAAAACCATAAGAACAAACCTAATTTTACAAGTATGTACTTCTGAATGACATCTGGCTTGACTGCCTCATTGGTGTCTAGAGTTCGTAAATGTGACTGCTTATTATGAGGTACCTGGTACAGACCCCGAGTAGAGACAAAAAAATCAGTAAGTATCATCCCCGAGCTTCGGAAAGTCGTTGGTCCTGCGACTGATATCTCTTTGGTTTGTCGGATTGCTGTCCCAACGGACTACGAACTGCTCCAGTACGTGTGGTAGCATTTTATTCCTCAAGCATGCAGCGGCGTTACCTAAGTTGATTTTTGTGATCTATTACTAGGTGGTAGCTCTTTTTCTGCCTAGGAGACCGTCTGGGTAGGTCACGGAGCAAATACAAAGAGGAGACGGCCTAAGCAACTGTGCACTGTGATTCTAACTAGGTCCTGACGTCATCACAGTGGGCGTGGCTTTAGGTATTTGTCAGCGTTCGTCTTGTGCGCTTATGTCTCGAAATCGTAAATCGATGTATTTTCGTAATATTAAGAAGAAAAGAATGAAGTATTGTGTTTTGTCGTGTAAAAATTACTCATATAGACGCTCTGATGCTCGATGCATGGATGGGATCACATTACATTTTTAAGTAATTTTATACTTAATTTATTAAAATAGTTCTAGAAAACTCTTTATGTCGGCTTTCAAATATAATTAAATATATTTGACACTAGATGGCAACACTTTGTGTTATGGGAACTAAAAATATATTATATTATATATTGGTAAAAGGTGCTGAAATTTGTTGTGCATTCAATCCTAAAGAATTTTTAATAGATAAAATATTATTTTTATAGTTTTTATAATCATTTTGTAAACAGGCCGCCATGTATCGTCAAGGTAGTTAAACTACATTGCAACATCGATATGGAACGATGGGAAATGTTTTGCTATTTATCGGTAGACGGAAAATAGTTAAGTGGGCGGGGCTTAAAACCCCCTCACCCCGCAAGTTGTCACGCGTTGTTACATAGTGATATCTAATTACAACACCTCCTCTTTGTATTTGCTCCGTGTGGTAAGTACCACCCTCTTACCTATTTCTATCACCAAACAGCAGTGCAGAGCATAGAGAGCTGGTATAATTACGGGATGTGAGGCGTTCCATCTTAGTACTCCGAGGTGGCATCGCATCTGTAGCTTTCTGGGAATTTTGGCGGGAACTTGACCGGCGGCGGTTTGTGTTTCTGTATTATTGTTTAATGGTTTGAAGTGGACCTTGATATGTAAAAGTGGTGCGATTTTGTGTATTAAGTGTCTGCGCATGTGAACTATTAGTGGAAACTGTGAAACAAGTGCTCTGATGGTGATGTGATTCTCATATTAATGTGTCTGTCTGCTTAAGCGCCTTGAGATACCATCGCCAACCGTCAACTGTTTGCTGGCTCAAGTTGCCGTCAAAATCTCCCAAGGGCTGCACAATATGACGCATCAACATATTGTGAAGCAGTATAGTATGAAGGTTAATTATAATATATTGTGACTTCAGGCTCAGAAAGACTAGATTCCAGAGCCGTAAAGCCAGTTATTAAAAAAAAATGTAGCTTTCTGTGTTTGAAGTTGGTTGCAGGTGTCCATGGATTCGCAGTGGCTACTTTCCATCAGGCGGCCTGTAAGATTGTTTGTCACTTCAGTTTTATTAAAAAAAATTACAATCGTCAACGCTTATACAAAAATTATAAAATAAATGGTTTTAACAATAAGTCACGTGACATAAGACGGCAAGATCACATCAAATCCTTATACATACATAACATCTTAAATATTAATTGAACCTTAATTGTACTGCAAATACTTAATTCACTCACTTTTGATCGTCGGGGAAGTAGAGTAGAGCGAGTAGGCTGGGTTCCATGAAGGCTGTCTCTGCAGCCAAGAACGCGGTCTGCGACTTGCGATACGCCTCTACGAGATCGCCTTTAATCGCCAAATCACCGGCCTGAGATATCGCCTCCACTGCAGCATTAATGGAAGCACCAACTTCATCGTTTATCACGATGTTGGATATCTCGCCTGTGGGTAAAACATCATCCGTTATTAAGACCGCGTGGTCGACTGGTCAAATCACATGATGTAATCATATAAGTTTCAACAAGTATATAAATATAGGTGTATTACTTGCTCCGACTTGATAGACACGATAATTTTTATTCCAATAAGCGACCATTTTTTATTGCGCATTTAAGGACTTTTTATTGGAAAAAGGGTCGTCGAAAAGGGCAGAACGTCTGCCTAGCCAGCTAATTTAACTATATATCTATCAGATTTATATTATCTACATAGAGGCAAATAGATATATACACTGTACAATAAGATCATTATCACGTGTTCTAGAAATCAACGTCAAGCCGAAAACGGGCAACAGGCCAAGTCGTTACAGTTATTAGAAAAATGTAAAAAAAATCTTGATCATGTACTTTTCAAATTATAAGGGTTCAAAAATAAATCTCAAAAACTGACACCCTGAGATGATCTTCCAAGTCCTGTGACTACAAATATTAATTGTCTTCTGTAAATTAAAATTAAAAGTTAAAACATAAACTACCTCAGTTTTAAATAAAATGTTAGATTTTTGCCCTACATTGAATTCAAAATAATTACATCACCCAACTTTAAACGACTGTACTGTAAAAAAAATTACTACACTATTTTGGCAAGTAACTTTAAAAGATGGCGCGTTTAGTATGGATTCCAAAATGGTATGACACTTAAATACTAATTGCTACTTCTTGATACAGGAAAAACAACTTTTTTTTAATGAAACCGTATTACCAGGAAACTACGACACATTTTCTCGTCAGACATACCTTAAAACGAAATTGTAAAACCAGTGCGTGTTGCCAGTGATGACTTACGGATCTGAGACATGGTCCGTCATTGCTGGCCGTATGAGGAAGCTCAAGGTCGCTCAGCGAGCTATGGAGAGGGCCATGCTCGGGGTTTCTCTGCATGATAAACTTAGAAATGAGGTACCCGCAGTAGAGAACCAGAGTAACCGACATAGCCCAACGGATTAGTAAGCTGACGTGGCAGTGAGCCGGCCATATAGCTCGAAGAACCGACAACCGATGGGGAAGAAAGGTTCTTGAGTGGCAGCCTCGTACCGGTCGGCGATGTTTAGGGCGACCCCCCACGAGATGGAGTGACGACTTGGTAAGACATGCAGGAAGTCGATGGATGCAGGTGGCTCAAGACCGTGCTTTGTGTCATTCCTTGGGTGAGTCCTATGTTCAGCAGTGGACTTATGAAAGGCTGTGATGATGTATTTCATACAAGTTCGATTGAGACGAAGAGTGACGTTATTTTGACTAGTGTGAGCGGGACAGATGGTGACACTACTTTGTTAAGTGTGAGCGATATAGATAGTGACACTTGAAATTTTAAATGGTAAAGTTATTGGTCCAATCGACCTGCCGGAGAACTTAAATGCCAAGGGTTATTTGAACTTCAACAACATCAAGGATCGTTTTCTTTAGAACGAGAAAAAACCGCGCTTCGGGATGCTTTCTGGGGCGCGAGGAGCGGGACTCTTTGAGGCTCACACGGGAGGGAGAGGGAGAGGGAGAGAGGATAAAATTTAATTTCAGTCTATAACGCACATATGGCGATATACAAAAGTATTCTGGCCTCGCTCATAGAAGCGTTCAATGCTAGTTTCTCGCTGTTCTCATCGGGCGGCTAGAGTTTATGCGTCGTTAGCGTGCCGTGCCGAGTGTAACATTATTTTAATTTTTCAATATCTCTTAAAATATGCGTCCAAATAACATACTATAAAGAGCAAAGTTTATCTTCATAAAATAATTTTGATGATGAAATAACTTTCGTACGTAAAGATTAATATGACATGCCTAATAGTAACGCTCATAAATCACTTTTATTTTCAATTTTTTTTTGTCACAAAATAACTTATAGTGGCTTATCTATAAGAAATATAGATAAGCCACTATAAGTTATGGCTTATGGTATCGCGGACTTTTTTGAGATGGTAAAATATATATCTTTATCTATATTTTTGTAGAACATTGTATTTACGTATTTTATTCTGACTTGCTTAACAAAAATCAATATTTAAGGCTAGCTGAGAGGTGTAGCCTAAAGCTGTGATAGCCTATGCTATCCCTTATGAATCTGGCTATAATATTGTTGCGCGCCACTATTAATGTCTTGTACATGGCAACACTAGTTACACTAGCGCCCTCTAGTGTCGAGTAGCAGAACTAGGAGAGTCGATATCCTTCCAGAAATTTCGGGACCGATATGTACTCGAACATTCTAGATGTCGCTACAGTAGAAGGTTCTGGAAACTATCTGAGGCCCTATATAAGGCCGGTATAGACCACGACCGGGGAGTATTGAATTGGCGATACAAGAGAATACTTCGAAGCGAAATAACGGCAAATTGTGTTTTATAATTGTGTGATTTTAAGTTGTAATTAGTGTTGTGTAATTAAATAGTCAATTTTGGTAATTCAATCGGCAGTTTTTAATTGTCTCGAACCCCAAGCTCGTAACAATATAAAAGTTTTTTTTTCAAATCGGACCGGTAGTTCCAGAGATTAGCGTGTTTAAACAATCAAAAAGAACATAAAAAAAATCTTTTACGTTTATGTCTATATACTATAATATATAATTATATTATAGTATAGATTCTATATAGTCTCGCTAAAACTCGAAAGTGGCCCAAACGGATGGTTTAGATTTACAATTGAACATTACACCCGGTAGGTGACGCTGTTGTCGCGATCCAGAAATCACCCGCGCGAAACCGGGGCGTATCGCTAGTATCTATATAAAAAGTCTCAAGTCAAAGTTCAATATGTTTAACGTCAAAAGAAACAAAGTTTAAAGGAAGATAAATGCAGTAACATACCATGATACATCTAATATTTAATATCTACCTAGTAACTGGGCCAGAGACTGCAAGGTCCTCTCGGCAGACGTGATTTGCTCCAAGCTCCTGATCCTCAGGAGACTGTCGACTTCCCAGCGCCGCGGTATCACCGAACGAAGTGGCTCAAGGTATGCGCCTTCGATATTACTCTGTGAATTTAATGGGTTTAGAGAGCATTTGCTTACCTTCATTTGGTGATATAATCAATGAGCTACTAGGTTATGTGGTATGTGGTTACGTGGTAGGGCTACGTTGCAGCTACATATATATTATGACTGCAGCACAAATGGGTCGGCTCAACATGGTAAAATGGCAGCTTAACACTACTGTGTTTCGTATTTGTGGGTGTAGAGATCCGGATCCAGAACCCTTTTTACTGGAAAAGAGGCATTCCATTTTAGTCCTCACGGGTGACAACGCATCTGCGTTTTGATTCGCAAACGAAGATAGATGTAGATATCTATGGGCCACAGCAACCACTTACCATCAGGTGGACTGTGTGCTTGTTTGTCACCCAATCCTACATAAAAAAAAGAAACCGGATCGTTATTCTATGGCTATCGAATTTGATGTAATTGTTGTATGTTTTTGTTGTATGTTTAGGAACACTCCCGTGTTCCTAAACATTTTTATTCTTAATCCCGGATAGATATAGATGTCTATGGGCCACAGCATCCACTTACCCAGGTGGAGCAGGTGGACGTCAGGTGGGCTGTGTACTCGTCTGTCACCATTATTCTGTAATCACAGACCAAGATCTCACCTTATCAGTGATGCCCAACAGCTCTCTCAGCTGCGCAATAAAGGTACCCATGATGAGTTTCACAGGAGGTTTCCACACAGGGCTTTCCTGACGGCAGTCCGCTGCGGTTGGGTTCCCGAATACCACTCCACCCCACTTGGGTGAAATGAACGCTTGTACTGGCGCGGACACTTTCTTGTCTAGAAGGAAATTTAAAAGAGATCTTTTTATTTTTTGAAATGAAAATCTCATTAGACGGGTCGGGCGACTTTTGGATAGGTAAAATTTTAGAAGTTAGCGTCACCAACACGGAATAGAATAATTTTTATTTAATATAGATTACAAGCATACTTGTTGAAAGTCTTTTAAGCTTTACCACAGATTTGGAAAAACCTCTGTTGGAAGAACCAGCAAGCATTTCAGCGGTACATTTTTTAACAGATTTACAATATAATATTTAATACAATGAAGTTGTATTTATAACTTGTATTGGCCTTGCGCCCAAAAAGAAAAACATAATATGATGGGTTCACATTATTATTTTTCATAGAAGAGAGGCCAAACGAGCATGCAGCTCATCCAATGGTAAATGACGCCGTCCGAAAACAACTGAACAACAACAACAGATGTGTTGTCGGCCTTCTAAAAAGGAGTAAGCTCAGTCTTTGAAGGTCCATAAATCGCCGGTGGTAAACGATTCCACAAAGAAGTCGTGCGAGGAAGAAAAATCCTAGTACATCGCACAGTGGTGGACCGCCAAGCATCCAGATGGTGTGGATGGTATCGTGAGTTTTGTCGCACTGTGCATTGATGAAATTTGGCGGATGGAATTAATCAGAACATTTCCTCTGGGTGGTTGGCACTTACCATGATACGCATGCTGATTTACCCTCTCTTTTATAAAAAAAAAATGGGTGTATGCTTATGTCCACACGATAGAACTTCTGAATTTTAAATTTTTTTGTTTTATTATTTTATTACTATACGTAAAACGTAATTATTAGAACGATGCACTCCTTGTCAGACAGTAAGCGTGGCTGATGACGACTGGAGCCGAGTAAACCCCATTCAGGTTCACCGACCCGAGCACCACGGTTCACTGTCGGTCACATTTCAGAAAAAACGTGCCTAAAGAAGTTTCCATTTCAAAGAAAAGTATAGGAGGAACATTTATTTATTAATTATTTATTGTAACACCTTACAACTAAAGTAACTGTTATGGATAAAAGAGAATTTATTTAAATAGCGAACTTGTGACCTTCGATCCTGGACTGTAAACGGATGCTGGTTGAGAGAAAGGGTTTTCGTTAAATAAATTGCACGCCGACCATGTCACGCCGCCCTCGTAGATCTTCCACGCTCAGGAGACAGGTTTCGCCAAGGTGCAGATGAGCTAACGCTTCTTCCTTTATTTTGCGTACACAAAACTTATCTAATTTGATGTCTTATAAAGTATTAACACGTGGTAGAGCCATGTTGCAGCTATATAAACAGTATGACCGGGGAAGGACCACGCTCTCACAGAATACCAGTGTAAAATAGCAGCTTAATGCTGCTGTGGTATGGTGAGTGTAGAGAACTGGAGACCCTTTTTACTGGAAAAGAGGCATTCTATCTAAATCCTCACGACTGACAACGCATCTGCATTTTAATTTGCAAACGAAAATAGATGTAGATGTCTATGGGCTCTAAAACCCCTCGGTGGTCACCATCAGCGTATACGAGGGGTCCCGGGATCTCCGTTTGGAACGCAACCAGGGCCCCTCCATCTCTTTGCTACACTTATGGTACGTCCCGGGGACAGTAATTGCTGCCCCCAGCACCCTCGCAGTGCTATCACGATGTCTCGAGACCACTTCCGAGTCATCGTCCTCCTCGGGGGTTACATTATTAGACGTTAGAGGCCCCCGCCCCGAGCGTCTGCAAACCAGGCCCCGTTTTTGGTTGGGGAACACCGTTTTTAAGAAGAGGGCCGTGACGAATGCCTTGGCGACGTTGTCTCCGCGCGGAATCCGCCCCCTCCTGATCCCGCAAGCCTCCTTCTGAATCATAACAGATTCACAGAAGGTGGCTACGACCCTCCACGTCGAATCCCCGCTCAGCATCGCCGACACGACTGCTGGCAGGGAGAGGTTCCGTCCAATGCGGTTCACCAGAATTGTCCGCTCCCGTTCCCACGCTGGACATACTGCGAGCGTATGGGAAGCGGAGTCCTGGCCGTCGCCTCGCGTCCGATCTTACACAGATAATCACCGAAGCACCCATGCCCGGTAATTATCTGTGTAAGTTTGTAGTTGAGTCTTCCTGCTCGTCGCTGCATCCAGGCTTCGAAGACCAGCAGGATTGCTCCAAAGACGCGTTTGTGTTTATAGCGCTCCTCGAGTCGAGTGCGCCATGTCGCCAGGGCGTTTTGTCGTTCCTGCCGTTTAATTGATTCGAGCGTCTCTTCTGGCTCACTACCGCCGCTCTGGCGGAGGGCACGGATTCGGTCGTACACCCTCGCGTCCATCTCCGCCAGTATATCTAGTGGTGGAAAGCGAGCCAGGATTGTCGCCGTCTCAAAGTATATAGTGCGGTATCCTCGTACGATCCGTATGGCCATCCTCCGCTGGACGCTGTAAATTTTAGTTCTACAGCGTCGGATGGCCAGCCTTTTTGCCCATACAGACACTCCATACAGAGCTACGGACCGTATAACTCCCGCAAAGAGGCGACGTACTTCCTCCGTCGGTCCCCCTAGATTGGGCACCAGTCTATGCATAGCACCCGCCACCCTTTCGATCCGGGGGACTAGGCGCTCGAAATGTTCTTCGATGCCCCAACGACTGTCAAGGAGGAGGCCTAGGTACTTCATGTACCTCCCCACTCTGACTTCGGACCACGCGGACGCACGAGTCAGCTGGTTCCCTGCCCCGTGGTAATTTATGGAACCTTAGGGCCTCGGTCTTGTGAGGCGCTATTTCTAAACCCAACTCGTGGATTTTGGCGACGACGACTTCCACCCCAAGTTCGGCGAGCTCCTTGGCCCTCTCGAAAGTTATCCCGCTGGCGATGACCAAGGTGTTGTCGGCATAGCACACGATATTTACGACAGCGGGAAGGTCGACTCGCAGAATCGCATCGTACGCGAGGTTCCACAGTAATGGACCCAGCACCGAGCCCTGCGGAACCCCACGTCTGATCTCCATCCGAATCTTTCTATCACCTTTTGCCATGTACAGAATGTACCTGTCGCGTAAATAGTCCCCAATAATATCTTGCAGGCAGGGGGGCACTTGATGATGTGCTAGTGCCCTCCTGATTGCGTCCCAGGGTAGAGAGTTAAAGGCGTTGACGATATCAAGACTTATCGCCAACGCCACGCCACCCTGTGATACTGTTTGTTCCGACAGGGAGCGGACGCGCATAATCGCATCTACAGTGGAACGCTCCCGTCGGAGCCCATATTGGCAGTCAGCCAAATCGGGACCGACGCGCAACAGATGCCCGCTGAGCCGAGTGGCAACTATCCTCTCGAACAATTTGCCAATCTCGTCTAGCAGGCATATGGGTCGGTACGCAGAGGGAGAATCTGCGGCCCTGCCCTCCTTCTTTAAGAGGACCAGCCTTGCCTCTTTACAGGCTGTGGGGAACTTGGCACATCGCAGATAGTTGGTAAACAGCTGCCTGAGCCAGTTCCCCAGGGCAGCCAGACTCAACACTAGGGCCCGGCCCGGAATTCCGTCGGGCCCCGGTGTTGTGTTTCGGACTTTTAAGCGGCTAACGGCTCGATCCAGCTCCTCGACGGTCACCCCTATCTCATCTTGTTACTCCCATGAAGACGGCAGGTGACCTTCGCGACTTGACCCGTCCTCTGGAAAGGGCGTGCTGATTACCTTTTCCAGAAGATCCGGATCGAGAGTCTCCGTCAAAGGGGGCGACCAGGGCCGGAGTTTACCCAGCACCATCCTGTATGGGCGCCCCCAGGGATCTTTGTTGAGTCCCTCCGGATGCTTTTTCCAGAACCGAGACCTGGTGTTGGTAATGGCGATTTGCAACGCTTTTGTAGCCGGTTTATGACTAGGCATGGATCCTTTCCTTAGGATAGAGGATTTATCGTAACATGATATAACGTTGTGGAGCTCTGCTGCAGCTATATTATGGTTGTAGCACGAATGGGTCGGCTTGACTGGGCGAGGACCACGCTCTCACAGAATACCAGCGTAAAATAGCAGCTTAACGCTGCTGTGTTTCGTATGGCGAGTGTAGAGAACTTAGTCATAGTCCGCACGGGTGTATTTTCATTCTTAATAGAGGATAGATGTAGATGTCTATGGGCCACAGCAACCACTTATCATCAGGTGGACTGTGTGCTCGTTTGTCACCCTTATTCTATGTAAATTGTAAAAATGCAGGTACCGTGTTGGTATATCGCCAGCGGCGCGCGGTCGCAGGGCACGACGTAGAGCGCCAGGTTGAGCGCCGGGCGCTCCGACACGTGCGTGGCGGCGCGCGCCTCCAGCCGCGTCAGCAGCTGCTGCAGCTTCTCCTCGCGCGCCGCCCAGTGCCGACCCCACTCCGATCCGTCCTTCACCTGCACATCATTCGACTCACCGTCATGAATTTTTTTTATAACGGGCTTTATGGCTCTGGGTTCTAGCCCTTCTTAGCCTGAAGTTACAATGTATAATTATTATCCGTCATAGTTCACTGCTTCACAATACGTTGATGCGTCACATTGTGCAGCCCTAGGGATATTTTGATGGCAACTTGAGCCAGCAGACAGCTGACGGTTGGCGATGATATCTCAAGGCGCCTATCGCCTAAACAGACAGACACCTTATCTTGAGAATTACATTACCATCAGAGCAATTGTTTCACCGTTTCCACTAATAGTTCACATGCGCAGACACTTAATACACAAAATCGCACCACTTTTACCTATCAAAATCCACTTTAAACCATTATTTAAATAATATTATAGGAGCAGCAAACCGCCGCCGGTCAAGTTCCCGCCAAAACTCCCCGTAATGATAAAAGACCACTCATTCACAGAGTACGTGCAGGTATTACTAAGGTAAACGCAATGTTTTGACGTAAATACGTCTTTAAATTTGCATCCATATTAAGAGGGAATTAAGAAAACTGATAAAAAAGTTTGTTCTTTTAGCTATCTACCATCCAAATCCAAAATTAATTTTACCACTAGACCTATACGTGGTATAGCCTTGCCGCAGCTATGTTACTGATATTCTTGGATGCAGCACCGGACATTTTTTGGTTTTTTCGGGTTGTGTCCGGCCAAATTTTTATGTGTCCGGCCTATCCGACTTTTGTTAGGCTTTTTGTTAGTGTAACGGGTTGCACGCGTCGCTTGGTTGTTGTTGAGTTGGAGTTGGTAAGTTATTTGGCTGCATGGCCTCAGAAAGGTATGTTTGGCTTTCTAAAAATTACTATCCGGCTTTTAGGGCCAAAAGTCCGGCTTTTTGGAGCGCCGAGTTCGGCTTTTCATTTTAGGAGATGGCAACCCTAATTCTGTGGCCCATAGACATCTACATCTATCCTCGATTAAGAGTCAAAATGCAGATGCGTTGTCACCCCTGAGAACTAAGATAGAATGCCTCGTTTCCAGTGAAAAGGTTCTCCAGTTCCCTACACTCATACACTCACCATACGAAACACGGTAGCATTAAGCTACTATTTTATACTGGTACTTATTCTGAGAGAGCGTAATTCTTCCCCAGTCGAGCCAACCCATTCATGCTACAATTATAATATAGCTGCAGCGTGACTCTATCACGCACCAGTATAATTACACGTTGTGAGATATGCCCGCCTTGTCGTGGCGTAGGGACTTAGCACCCATAGTTTCATCACCCACGGTGAACTAAAAGTGACCACCCCGAGTGGACTTGGAGTGCCCACCACCAGAGCACCATGTATGTTGGTAGACTACGACGAGAGCGTAGCCGCCGTTGCCGCAGACGAGATAGACGCCGGTCTCAGCGTCCGCAGCCAATACCTTGTCGACGGTGGAGCTATGGATTTCAGCATTTTCGTGATCCGCCGACCAAATCCACTTTTTTGCATGGGTATCTTCTCAAATTAACTTTTTTTACATATTAAACCTATATAGAGGATAGGGTTCCATGGTTTTCAAACTTTATTGAAACTTAAAATGAAAAATACTCGTATGACTTTTACATACCTCTTTAGCTTGGAAGTCGAAGTTTAGCAAATAAAGCCACTGGGACTTCAGGGTGAAGTTGTGCAAAACTTCCAGCTCGTCCACAGACGAGCCGATGTAATCTGGAAATATAATGATGATAAATACGCAAATACCTTGACCCATCCGGATGATTGGATCGTAATTAATCCATCATGACATATTTTCATTAGTAGTTAAGTGGGTTGACCATGAGGACTACCACATTTTTTTCTAATAACAGGGCGTTACTAGTTCACCTCATTCCTAAATGGTACCATTTAGGAATGAAGGTGAACTAGTTGACAATCATCAGGTTAAAGTAGGGTAAGTGAATGGAAGATAGATGTAGATGGTCCATGCACTTACATCTCTCCTCGGTTAAGTATCAAAAACGCAGATGCGATGTCAATCCAGAGGGCCAAGATGAAATGATGTGTCTATAGGCCACAGCATTCACTTACCATGTGATGTGGATGTGTGCTTTTTTATCATCCTAATTCTATTAAAAGGTTTCCGGTGCTCGTCACTTACCATACGAAATAAAGCAGCTTTATGGTGCTATTTCAGGCTAATACTCTGTGCGAATGTTGTCCTTTCCCGATCGTGACGACTTATTTGTGCTGCAGCGTGACTCTATGCTATCTCTACAAAATGTCGACAAGTGTAATATTACAGATAATATAAATTATATACTATACCTTCCATTGCATCACCAGCTTGGAATTCCACCTTCAAATCCTGTGGCCGCGGGTGTACCACGGATAATACTACGTGATATCCGGGACCGGGCGGGAATCGCACCCGTCGTGTTGAATCCGCGGTGTCTGAACGAGCGCCTTCGAGCACGGACGGCTCGTAGATCCATTGCTTTAGGACCTTGGCAAGGGTCTCTGCCGCTGTGAAACGGTATTTCAAATTAAATAGCATTTCTTTCATCATTTGACCCATTGGCGAATCTAGGATTATTTAAGGAACCAACATAATGTTTAATTCTACTTGGTTAAGTGGTAAAAATGCGTTATTTGGTTTCCGTCAAGACATTCTCAGTAACAACCGGAGTCAGGAAGTTGGCGGTGTTTCAACCCCGTGCATCGGAAAGCATGTAAAGCCGTTGGTCCTGTACCTGATCTCTTGAATGGGATTGCCGTTCTATATGATGAGAGTGTGGAAATAGAGAGTACACATGTGCATCTAAATCCTCTAGAATCTGGTTTTCGTCCTGGGCATAGTACTGTCACAACCTTAGATAATATTACGAAAGATATTAGATCTGCATTGGAAAATGGCAAATTAACTAACCTTTCTCTGTTAGATTTTAGCAATGCTTTTAATTCAGTTGATTTTGAAATTTTACTGGGTATACTTAGCTCTCTTAATATATCTCCAACAGTGATTGACTATTTTCGAAGTTACCTGTCTAGGTGCAGGCAATGTATTCGCATTTCGCATTGATGACACATTTTTTTCTTGGTGTGTCGGTGGTGTCCCGCAGGGTGGCGTTTTATCTCCCTTACTTTAATGATTTGTTATATTTACGCGAAGACTACACATTAAATTAATTGCGTAAAAGAACATATAGCTGACTTGAAGCACCGACGTTTCAGGAAGTCTGCAGTTTGTGAACAAGTTGTTCAAGATCGTCCCCGCCACTACATTAGACTTGATAGAACACAAATCCTCGCAAAAGAACACCGATTCCTACCAAGGATGATTCGCGAGGCTATTGCAATCAAAAAAACATCCTAATTTCAATAGAGATCGATGGGTGCTGCCATATGCTTGGGATTCTATAATTAATAAAATTAAATCCAAACCCAAGTATCAGTTGAGCAGCGTGCCTTAGAGGGGCCCTGTATCAAAATTTGTCGGGGGACCCAATTGAAGGGTAAAGATTTTGCACAAAAGGAACATAAACTCTCGCATTGAATTAAAATAATTAAATATTGATTATAAGTTATTACTTACAATTAATACTTCTAGGAACTAAGCTAGCCAAACAATTCAAACCGACATCCTGTCCCATTAGAATTTTTGCTTACATACGTTCGGGGGGGCCTTTGTAGTCCGGGGGCCCAGTAATCATTGATACGGCTGATACGGCGGTAGCTACGCCCCTGCCAAGTATACCACTGCAAGAGTTCAAGATAATTAGCTTACAGCTCATTCTGCGTAGATCGGACCAAAAATTAATATTCAAAACTGAAGGTTAAAGGAAAAAGGAAGGCTAACTTTACCGCCCATTGTGACACTATTTTTTTTCTTCTTCTTTCTTTTATGTATTATTTGGTGTACAACAAAGACTTATCTATCTATCTATATGCTTGCGTATTATGTTGTCTTGCGCAGATGGCTAGTGTCCAAACTTCGGTTTGAAGAACAATATCATTGTTATAGTTCAATACATTGATTCCACTGCTGTTAAGATATTTATTTATTTATTTCATAGTATTGTAGTGTCCAGTTATTTAAGTGCCGTGGAATTTTGCTTTGGTAACGCAACAACCTGGGGTGGACCTTTCTCAATATACGCTAATGACTTGACTCCTGGATATGGGTGTCTTCCTTAGTAGAGAGAACTTGCCCTTTTTGCCATGTCCCACCATACCACCGACCACCACAAGCTGCTTCCAATTAATCATTTGTCGATAGATTGCACTTGTTTAGGTATTTATGCCATTTTAAAGAATGGGATAATGAATTTTTTAAAAGCTAATCATTACGGCCCATCCAAATGTCCACTGGTGAACATCGGCCTCCCTCATAGATAGGCATGGCAAGCGGGTTGGCAACCACAGTTTTTTTTAAATTTCGCTGTTATCAGGAAGATGCTGCTGCCCATCTCTCGGTTTGTTTCTCTTACTCGCCTTTTACGACACACAAGGGATGATATGGCGTAGGGGATATTCTTACACGGCTACTACTCGGTCAAAGTTTATTTATTTTATTTATTTATTTTGCATAATGTGTGTTTTACAGTTGTTATAAAAAAAATATAGTTCAACACATTAACTATTTCTCGTGTACAAAATTATTGAATTGTATAAATATTAAGTATTATGAAGTACATTATAAATTAAAATTACAAAAAAAATTATAATAAATAACCAAAAAAATTGAAAGTGACCTAATGAACAAAAACATTGACTATTATTTGCACAATCATTTCATTAATATTTATGATTTCATGTCACATGATATATAATATATAATTACCAAAATATTATTATTTAAAAAACATTAAAAATAATTATTGTTTTTCTAACAACTCGCTAACCGAATAAAAATAATTATTAGCTAGCCACTTTTTTAACACAAAAGTTGTTACTTAAAAGTTTAGTTAACAAGAACAGTTGTTAGTTAAAAGCTTATAAGTAAACCATTACGTCACGCCGTGTGTCTAAATGAAGCAATAGCAAAAGGCTGTACAAAATAGTTGGTATAAGATACGTAAGGTCGATCGATCTATATAAGTGGCACGTCTCGATAAAATAAAAATAAAATCTTGTATATGTATTATCAAATACAAGTGCGTATTAACGTTTTTGTAAAAGTGACTTTAAATACACACAAAACATGTGTGTCATTTAAATATATATAGTGATCGCGTAAACAAAAGAAATCATTACAAAAATGTTTATCACTGTTTCATTAAAAATCGTTTCGTTTTCCCCTTCAAGCCGTTCTGCAGTGCAGAAAGTGAAAAGAAAGAAAGAAAGAAACGAACCGTTACCGTGACAGCCTATTAAAGTCCACTGCTGAACATAGGCCTCTTTTTTATAGGATAGGTTGACAAACGAGCACACAGTCCACCTGGTAGTAAGTGGTTGCTCTCCATAGACACCTACATCTACCCTCGTTTGCGAATCAAAATGCAGATGCGCTACCACCCGTGAGGACTAAGATGGAATGCCTCTCTTCCAGTTAAAAGGGTCTCTGATTCTCTACACTCACCATACAAAACACAGCAGCGTTAAGCTGTTACTTTACGCTGGTATTCTGTGAGAGCGTGGTCCTTCCCCGGTCGAGCCGACCCATTCGTGCTACAACTATACTACTAATATAGCTGCAGCATGGCTCTACTAAATTGGCACGCTTGGCAATCGGGTTAGCAACCGAAGTTTCTTATTTTCGTCGTAATCAGGAAGACGCTCCTACCCATCTCCCCATTTGTTTCCCTCTGTCGCCTCTTTCCACGGGACGATATGAGGTAGTGAATATTCTTACACCGCCACTACACGGTAAAATGCACGAAAAAAAAACCATCTAAACAAAATACTGGAACGACTTACAGATGTTTCATTTTAAGTCTTCTTAAGGTGACAAGTTCTTAGTTTTCAATAATAAAACGGATCGTAATATAGAACGAAACGTTCTTGATTCTAGAAATCAGGCACATTATATTTACTAACTCTACGATCGGTTCGCCTCGCCTCTCTTCCATTTGGGGCGAGGACAAAACGATCCTAGAGTTGCATAGCGAACTCAATTAATGTAAATGTGTACTATGAGCCGTGTTGTAGATGGAAAAATGAAATGAAATGAAATGACAACTTTTTATTTGAAATAAATATCCTTCATTGAAAACAAAACTTCATTTGCCAAACGTCTACAAGTTTTATAATTTACAACAGCGGTGTCAGAATATCCACTATAGTCTAATGCATTTGTCAGAACTGCACCTTGTGGTTTAAATTTAAACAATTTCTTTACAACTTTGTCGACTTCTGAGAGTCCTTAAGCCCCCGCCTAGACTTCTGACAATAATTTTCCTAGATTCTTACACTTAAAAACTATAACTCTACCAAATTTCAGAACTGCACCTAATTATTTTTTCTTATTGAAAATTTACGACTTTGACCCACGCCCACCCACGCCTTCCGCCCTGGGAGAGAGTTCTGACGGGCCTCGCTCTGTACTTCTAAGCTACCAAGGAGAGGTTATATATATAATTCGTTACTACACCTTAACAGTTCACGTTTTCGTTGCCAGCCCTCCGACTACTACCTTGTATAATCCCGTGGTTGTCGTAAGAGGCGACCGCGGGAAATGAAACAGTAGATAGGCAACAGCATCCTATTGATAAAAACGCATTTTTTTTCTTTCAAAAAACGTTACCACCACATTAGGATTTTCTCCTGTATCGTGGAGGCAGTTTACATACATAAACTGCATGAGGACAAACATCCAGACTCGGAACAATTATTTGTAGGCCGTACAAATACTTGTTCCGTGCGGGATTCGAACTCGTGGCCCTTAGCGCTGCAACTCAATTGCTAAGCCACTGCGCCATGGAGCCTTCAAATCATCAAAGAGGAAAATGATGCAATGGAAAGGTTTATATGTATAATACTTGCATATCATATTATATAATTCTACTGTCCGTGTGTATTATGGCTGATTATTTAATAATAAACTGCGGTTGCAAACCTTTTTTTATAGGATAGAGTGACAACGAGCACACAGTCCACCTGATGGTAAGTGGTTGCTGTGACCCATAGACATCGACATCTATCCTCAATAAAGAATCAAAATGCAGATGCGTTGTCACCTGTGAGGACTAAGATGGAATGCCTCTTTTCCAGTAAAAATGGTCTCCGGTTCTCTACACTCACCATACGAAACACAGCAGTGTTAAGCTGCTTTTTCTCTGTGAGGTCCTTCCCCGGTCGAACCGTCCCATTCGTGTTACAACTATACTACTAATATAGCTGCAGCATGGCTCTACCACGTATAAAACTTGCTTAATAAGCAAGGAAACTACGGCAAATATTCCCAATAAAAGGCAATCTATATTCTATAGGGGAGGCCTATGTTTCGACTTCTGACTTTTGATAGGGTACCTAATCAATCACCATCCAGCCACGGAGCACCACAGACGATTGATGATGGTGACAGAATAACACAGAGATACATTCTTACTTATCTTAAATTAAAAACAAACGGTTGTTATTATTTTTAGATCCAAAACTAGTTTAAGAGTAACCCTAGATGGTCTACCCTCTGGAGACAAATATGGAATGCCTCATTTCAAGTAAAAAGGCGTATCCAGTTCTCTACACTCACCATACGAAACATGCAGCATTTTCAGCATAGGTCTTTTCCCGGTCGAGTCGAACCATTCGTGCTACAATCATAATATAACTCTATCAGTTATAAACATGAGAAATGTATTGGGCTCTCTTATGCCGCCTTGGTACGGTTAAGCATAGGTACCTGACCATTTTGAAGATATTTTTCAATGTCAATTAATCAAGTTCTCACCTTTGGCATCCCGGAAGAACACCACCCTTTCCCCACCAACCCACACGTCCTTGAACAGGGGTCCCCTCTGCACTACATACAACTTGTTATGTTCCTTGAGGTCTAACACGGCACCGACTTCCTCAACGGCTTCCTGCTCATCGGCTACAGAATCTAAGGTTCTGTGTAGTTGTTCGGATAGCAGGCGCTTTGTAATCTTCAGTTTCAAAACGTCTGAAACAAAGTAACAATTAGATTATTGCTTTAACTATCTTAGTGATCATGCACGAAGGTAAACCGAGAGATTTTAGTCGGTGTAAGCCGTAATCCGATGTACATAATCCGACCTTGTCCCCCGAATTGCGTAACATATTTTATAGCTCTAGTTTTCAAAAGGTTTTAATCAAAAATAATATTAAACCTGTTAATAAGTAACTGCAGCCTATTGACACCTGCAATACAAACAACGAAGGTTACACCTCTGAGGGCTAAGATGAAATGACTCAAGTATATTTTAAGTTTTAAGCGCAAGTTCGGCCTCACATGGAATACTGTTCTCATCTCTAGGCCGGGGCTCCCCAGTGCCAGCTCCTTCCACTTGACCGCATCCAGCGGAGAGCGGTTCGAATCGTCGACGACCGAGTTCTTTCTAATCGGCTCGATACACTGGCACTGCGTAGGGATGTTGCATCCCTTTGTATTTTCTATCAAATTTACCACGGGGAGTGCTCTGAGGAATTGTTCGGATTAATTCCAGCCGCCAAATTTCACGAAAGCACATCGCGTCAAAATTAACGATACCATCCTCACCATCTGAATGCTTGGCGGTCCACGACTATGCATTTTACTAGGAGTTTTCTTCCTCGTACTACTTCTCTGTGGAATTGTTTACCACGGGCGTTGTTTTCCGGACCGATATGACTTAGGGACCTTCAAGAAAACAGCTTACACCTTTCTAAAAGGCTGGCAACCCATCTTCAATTCCCCTGGTGTTACGGTTGTTCATGGGCGGCGGTAGTCACTTACCATCAGGTGAGCCGCATGTTCAGACTGAAACACAGCAGTGCACGCATTGCTACTTGTCGGCAAATATAGCTAAGAGAGTAGTACCTACACAGACTGACTCTTCTTTTCTACCGACTTCAAAAAGGAGACGGTACTCAATTCGACTGTGTTTTTTATGTTTGTTACCTCATAACATTTTATTGGGTGAACCTTATATTGAAGTCGGTTGTATAAAATTTTTAATTTTAAATTATGATTCTAATGGAGGATAAATGCAGATGTTAATGAGCCACAGAATCCACTACCATCAAGCGGACTGTGTCCTCATTTGTCACCTTTATTGTATAAAAACGTCATCGTACAATCAATGTGCTTCCATAATATTCAATATAAAACTATTTTAACAGAATTTATGTTTATAAAACATAACTTCAAAGGTTTATTTCTATTACTATCATCCTATAAGGTTCACATTATTAATCGGCTTACTACAGTATCTAAGGTCACCAACGCAAGGTAAACAGGGTGTTCTATTGCAAATAATTAACTAGTTAAAAATAACAAACAAGTTTATATAACGACCTTAAGTAGATTAGGCATAAAACCTTTTGTAAATGAAGGAGAGAGTGACAGATATTTGTTTAAATAATCTATATCGCTGATGACAAAGGAAAGGGTTACATTATAATTAAAAATTAAAAATTTTGTACATCCGACTTCAATATAAGTTATTAAGAATAACTCAAAACCATTGATCTAACCTTTATCAAATTCATATGGGACCACACGAGAAGTACCAGCTTTCAAATAAAAACAGAATCATCGAAATCGGTTGACCCAGTAAAAAGTTATGAGGTAACACACATTAAAAAAACAGTCGAATTGAGTACCGTCTCCTTTTTGGAAGTCGGCAGAAAATCTTATTGCATGTTTTATTAACTCCCTTTCGAGTAATCGGATTTAAACTAACTTACCGATAAGCTAGAGACTTGAAGTTTTGAACATACTCGGAGCTCAGAATTGGGTGACAATGTAAGAATGTGATGAAAATTACCTCCATAATTATTTTGATAATTTGTGAGTGTACACAGTGTACCTAACTTTCATAGTGTAGTTTTAAATAGTCAATCAATAATGTCTTATAAAAAGTGGTCGTATAGTGGTGGTGTCCACTACCCCAAAATGTGTGTTTGTATCGTAAGGGGCGATAGAGGGAAACTGAAACAGGAGAGTGACAACGTTTCTAGATCGAGGGTAGATACATTTATCTATGAGCCGCAGCATCCACTTAACACCAGTTTGATGGTGTGCTCGCTTGTCACCCATATTCTATAAAAAAAAAATCCGCCGTCTTTTACGACACCGTGGGTGATTCTCTTATGCGTGAATTTTTTTATACCGCCACTTATATATAACATGCAATTGCACATATAATACTCGTAATAAATTTTATTTATCAATACGCAAAATAGTTGCAGTGGCTCGAGTAATTTATCTTAAAGACCCGTGACATTGATTAGATAAGTTTATAATTATTGAATAATTTAAAATAATATAAACACACTTCAATTACGGCCCCGTGGCGCAGTGGCTTAGCAATGAGTTACTGCGCCGAGGGCCGCGTGTTCGATTCACACACAAAATATATCTATATATCTATATCTATATATATATATATATATATATATATATATATATATATATATATATATATATATATATATATATATACCTAGTCATGTCATAAGTATTGTCACACAGTAAAAACTTTTCTTTTAGAATGCTGGCCACAAAAAAGTTTATTGAATTCGAATTTCGGATTGTTCATGAAAATAAAACTGTATACTTTTTAGAATTTTACTCATTTTTAAATATGGAGTGGACGCTTAAAGAAGACCGTGTTGCAGTTATTGCGTTGCATCGTTGGGGTTACGCGCCAATTCAAATTTTTGACATACTGAAAAATTTGAATTTAACCAAAAGATTCGTTTATCGTACCATCAAACGATACAATGAAGACTCTAGTGTAGATGGCAGGTCAAGAAGTGGTCGCCCTCGGTCTGTTAGGACTCCAGCAGTGATAAAAGCTGTGAAGGCGCGAATTCAAAGAAATCCCAAACGTAAGCAGAAACTGTTGGCCCTTCAGATGGGGTTAAGCAGAACCACGGTGAAAAGGGTGTTAAATGAAGACTTAGGACTTCGGGCATATCGAAGAAAAACATTGAACAAAAATTGAACAACTTTGAATGCTCGTCTAATGGACCTGAGACTGAAGAGATGCCTCGCTTTGTTGAAGCGGTACGTGGGAAAAAAATATCGGGAAATTCTTTTTTCGGATGAAAAATTTTTTACCGTAGAAGAGAGCTACAACAAACAAAATGATAAGGTGTACGCACACAGTAGTGAAGAAGCGAGCAACCGTATTCCGCGTGTCCAACGAGGTTATTTTCCATCCTCGTTCATGGTATGGTTGGGAGTTTCTTATTGGAGCTTAACAGAGGTACATTTTTGTGAGAAAGGTGTAAAAACGAATGCAGTTGTGTATCAAAATACAGTCCTGACGAACCTTGTGGAATCTGTTTCTCATACGATGTTCAATAAGAGGCACTGGGTATTCTAACAAGATTCGGCGCCAGCTCATAGAGCGAAGAGGCTCTCCTCCAGTCCAGATTTGAATCCGTTAGATTACAAGATATGGCAACACTTGAAGGAAAAGTCGTGCTCAAAGCCTCATCCCAATTTGGAGTCACTCAAGACATCCTTGATTAAGGCAGCCGCCGATATTGACATGGACCTCGTTCGTGCTGCGATAGACGACTGGCCGCGCAGATTGAGGCCTGTATTCAAAATCACGGAGGTCATTTTGAATAAACTTTAGTGTCATAAGAATCTATGTTTTGTTAAGTTCATTTTGGTATATAAATGGTTACATAATGAATAAACTTGTTTCAATTATTTTATATTAAACATGTGACAGAATTTATGACCTGACTAGGTACATGACCTGCAAGTAATTGTTCCGGGTCTGGATGTTTGTCCTTGTGCAATTTATGTTTGTAAACTGCATCCACGATACAGGAGAAAATCCTTGTGTGGGGGTAAAGTTTAAACAAAATTAACAACAGATACTGGTAAAATTTTCCGTTCACTGAATGTACCGTGTAATGGCTAACATATCATTCAGTGGGTGTCGTATGAGACGACAGACCCTTAGTGACCTAAGGGAAGCTTCTACTTTCCGGAATGTATCTTTGGAGTACACTAGCCGCCTCAGTTGTTAAGGGTTGAATTTTCTACGAACCTCTACTATAGGCGGTTCATTGAGTCCAGGGCCAGGGACCAGGGCTTCTTGCCGGGGCAGCTTATTACCTAATATAAAGCGATAGTCCGGTCGTGCATGGCGTACTGCTGTCAGATATGAGCTGGTGTTGCAAAATGCCACCTAGCTGCGTTGAACTCAGTGGAGAGACGTGCTAAGAGGCTCATTGGTAAACTTGATTTGGTTTAAACCAATCTAGTCTGCCTCGAGTACACAGGCGCAGAGTAGCCAATGTCTCAGTGTTCTATAAATCTATAGGATGCATTTCGGGGAGTGAGCGCAGGAGTTACATACTTTAATTTCTTCCTCTCCTTTCCACCATCGGACAAACAGGCATTCCGCAGGTCATCACTCGTTTGTTGTCGATATTCCACGCATTAGAACCAAACAGTTTGCTTTGTTTTTTGTAATGCGTACTGCAAAGGAGTAAAATAATTTGGCGACGTCTGACTTCCCATCCGAATTTGTATTCGGACTTGCAGTAGCCAGAGCCGTAAAAAATTCCTACTGCATTGCGGTGGCGTTTTGATTTTATTTATCAAATAAATCTAATCACAATACTTACGCCGAACTTACAGATACCTGATATTATCAGATGGATTGATAATGCAAGTAGTGCTCTAGCAAACTTCTTTAAGGAAAATGCAAAAACTAGGTTTCCATGAACACTAAGAGTCTTACTACACCAATCGATCGTTTGGTGTGTTAGTTTTAGTTGATCGACAAATACTGGTCGATGAAACGTTGTTCAATCATCGATCGACGTTGATCGACAAATAATGCGGTCAGTGGGTTCTCGCGTAATCAAGCAGCTCGTTCGACGTCGACTAATCCATTCCACCATCGATCGATGCTATCGATCGATGGTGGAATGGATTAGTCGACGTAAGATGATTAATAGTAGTAATTCCAATTGTAACTCATCTAACTTAGTGGTTGTTTGTTGTGCAGTGTGTGGTCTTGCGTTGTCGTGAAGCAGCAGTGGCCTAGAGCGATTGACCAATCTCGGTTGTTTAGCAGCTAGTTCTTCCTTCATGGTTTGCAGTTGCTGACAAAAGACATCTGCCGTAATCGTTTGGCCAGATTTTAGAAAGCTGTAGTGAGCAACACCGGCACTAAGATGATTGTACACACAAACACAACAAATACAATATTGAATACTAAAATACCTTTAAATAACGAGTGGTAAAATTAAAACTATTGTATCCTTCAATATAAATATAACTAATTTTTGATTGTAAAAATACATAAAAAGAAGATTCAGATGAATTGTAAACCTCTTCCTTTTTGAAGTCGGTTGAAAAGAAAAAGTAGACTTTAAAAAACAGAAAAAATATTTGAACCCGAGTGTACAAGTGCACTCTCTATTCCCTCACTCTCATAGTCCGATGGGACAGTAATCCGACACGAGCGGAGAGAGATCAGGCGCAGGACCAACGGCTTTACGTGCTTTCTGAGGCACGGGGGTGAGACACCGCCAACTTCCTGACTCCAGGATGTTACTGAGAATTTCTCGACAGAAAACCCAACAACTACTTTCGGCCCGACCCGGGCTTCGAACCTGGGACCAGCAACCGCGTTTGCGGCCACTGTACTAACGAAGCAGTCAAGACATAGTGTATAGCAGAATCAAAACACCGACTTCAAAATGTGAAATATTTTTTTTAAGTCTGCTTTTACTTTTGAATAAAAGTTTTTTAACCTTTTTTAACTGTGTTTTTAATATATACTGCCGTGTAGTGGCAGCATCTGCTTGATAATAAATCAAAATAATAAAAATCCGCCTGCAAACCGTGGCAACTATGGCAGGTAAGTACCCTCCCTATTAGAAAATCTATGTGAAAGAAATGTTAAGCTCACTTTTGTAAGGCTGCAATGAATTATTGAATTAATTAATGTGATATTCATTCAAAGCAACTTACGCCCCTGTTATGCGAATTCTAACTTTTTTTCACAGAACAGGGGGCAAAAGAGTGTGTGGCTCACTCCTCAGGATTTCAACCCAGTTGTATTTTGATTCTTAATCGAGGATAAATGTACATGTCTATGGGTCCACCTGGTCGACTGTGTTCTCATTTGTCACCCTTATTCTATATAACAAAAAATTAAGGCATTTAAACAATATAATTATCCTTACCAGAGTCCATAAAAGTCTTTTCAATAAGACCCGCGACTTCTGCAGCTGTGTGTGCATCGTTGGCCAGTACGATCAGCTCCGAGGTGATAGCGTGGGACTGGGTGTCGAAAGCGCTGATCTTGTCATACGGCAGTGTTACCCTGGCAAACATAGTTTACATTAATCCAGAAATTATTCGCGAATATTCAGACGACAGTAGTGCCATCTGGCGTGGGCTTAAGGGGATCCATCACCCCAGCGCGAGTCGACGTAAGTGGCTCGCGACAGAATATCAGCGCTGGTAAACTCTGTTACTGCAGCATTTTGCTGAGTCGCTGACCTGTGCGTGTGTGTGTGCGCGTGTATGTGCGTGTGTGTGTGCGTGTGTGTGCGTCTGTTTACGTGTGGATGCGTGGATCCGTCTGTGCGTGCGTGCGTGCGTGCGCGCGCGCGCGCGCGCGCGTGTGTGTGTGTGTGTGTGCGCGTGCGTGTGTGTGCGCGTGCGTGTGTGTGCGCGTGCGTGCGTGCGTCCCCGTGCCTGCGTGAGTGTGTGTGTGTGTGTGTGTGTGTTTGTGTGTATGTATGTGTGTGTGTTGGCATTACATTTCATGTGAACTTAAATCAATTCGGCTCGGCAGATTTTGAGAAAATCTCAAAAATTTTATTTTCAAAAAAGTTGTTATGAGATAAACTCTTGTATTGATCGATTCCAAAATGTAATCAGCTCTTAACCAAAATCTAATCGCCTCTTAATCAAAAAACAGCATCAATTGCCGAAAACAGCATTAAAATCGGAACATTCGTTCAAAAGAAATCGTTATCGAAACATGAATTTTTATAACCGTCCACCTATTATGACGTGAATGACGTAAAATTTTGAGCGTTTTGCATTTGAAATTAGCGGAAAGTTGCAGGGATGGCCTGTAGGGTCAACCGTATTTTTTTAAATATTAAGTTAAGTATTTTTTTGTTTGTAAAATCAATGCTATACAAGTTGCAGCAATAATTACATAATATGTTCTTTCTTTTTTTTATTTCGTTCCGTGGGTGTCACAAAGGCTGCTTCCGATAAATGGCGGTATGATGCTCTCGTAAACACCTAAACTACAAATCCAAGCGACGCGCAGCAACGTCAAAGGTGTGAAAGGTTTGGTCACCTTTTCTTTTTCTTTTTTACTATCAGCCAGTTCTTGACTACTGTAACCATGATGGTAGCCGTAGATGGTAAGTAGTGATGCAGCCGTAGATGGTAAACAGCACTGACTTAGTACGCCGTTCGAGAGGTCCATATCCAGAAGTGAACTTTTACGTGATAGTGAGAAATAGTATGATAATTAAAAATGGCAAAAAAGGGCGACGAGGCGCCAGAATAGAAACACTTTGAAAATTTTCAACGAAAGTAATTGCGGTTTCCTTCAGTTAAAGGGAGAGAGCCAGTGTAACAGCCTGTGAGGGATTCTATCTTAGTCTTTAGATGTAACAACCAATCTATAGCATTTTTAGTTTTTAATTTTGAAGTTGTATTCCATGGGCAACAGTAGCTACTTACCATCCGGTAGATTGTAAGTTTGTTTGCCGTTTCAACTTTACTGGCTGTTACTGGCAAAACATAAAGTTTTAGCTATGGTATTAAAACAAAATCAATGATTTTTTTTTTATAGATAAAGGTGACAAACGAGCACAGAGTCTACCTGATGGTAAGTGGATGTTGTGGCCCATAGAAACCTACATCTATTTTTAATTACGAATTGAAATGCAGATGCGTTGAGGACAAAGATGAAATGCCTCATTTTCAGTAATAAGTGTCTTCGGTTCTCTACACTCAAAATACGAAACACAGCAGTATTTGGCTGCTATTTAACGCTGGAATTCTGTGAGGGCGTGGTTCTTCCCCAGTCGAGCCTACACATTCAAGCTACAACAATAATGGCTACACCGTGGCTCTACTGCGTATATAACGGTGAAAATAATTAGGAATCAATTAGTAATAAAACGAACTTATCAAAATCATCATGTCCGTGCGTGAAATTTAAATAAAAACCGATGAATGTGACGATTTTATCGCTTTAACCTTTAAAGTTTATATTAATTAATAGTCAGCGGTAGTGATACATATAGTTTTAATTACTTTAAATTAATTGTGGCATAATATGAGGAACATAGGCCTCCCACAAGGAAGCACGGTCCTGAGCCACCTGTATCCATTGCCTTCCTGCATGTCTAAGGTTAGGCCCATGTTCTGCAGTGGACTTGTGAAGAGCTGTAATTAATTAATGCATGAATGAAATAATATGAAGTCCTCTGTATGATACATCCGTAGATCGTAAGTATTTTACATGGGACGTTTACAAAACTCCGCAACCACAATAACACATGTAATTCATTCATAATAGCTTATCAAAAGCCTACTGCTAAACATAAGGGGTATTAGCCAAAACTGCCACGGGTTGGCGACCGTCATTTTTTATTTCATAGTTGTTATCAGGAAGACACCGCTGCCTGGCGACTGGATTTTTTTTTGCTTCTGCCATCTCTTATAACTTCCACGGCACGATATGGGATAGTAGATATTCTTACACTGTCACTATACATAACTACCTAGTATTACGAAGTATTCGGAATCCATAGTCAAGATAGGACCGTTCCTAAAGGATTCAGATGTTATGTGACGAATTCAATCTTACCAATTTCATAGACAAAATAAACCCTTAGCCAATCAATAGTTACAACCTGTAACAGTAATAGCTGTAACCTCATAAACCCCGAGTATCACGAAACGTTCATTGTCAGAAATTTGATTAAAAGAAATAAAAAACCTAAACCTATCTCCCAGTAGTAAAAGAAGAGATGCATGGTGGAATGATGAAGTGAAAGAAGCTGTAAAGAAGAAGAAGAAAGCATGGTTAGACTACTTAGCCTCTAGTAATGATAAGGATATGAGAGAGAAGATGAAAGAAAGATATAGGCTGCAGAAAGTTCACACGAAAGCACTGATTGAGGAAGTGCGTGAAAGGTGTAGAATGGAAGCGGACGAAAGGTTGTCGCACAACTTTAAGCAGAACTCCAAACTCTTCTGGAAAGAGGTTGGAAGGGCCCGAAGTGGTGCGACGGCCTTAAGAATGAACAAAGTGCTTTCGAGAACTAATCACGTCCTATCAGAAAAATCGGACGTCATGCAGCGATGGAGCGAATTTTATAGAGAAATGTATGCGTGTGATGATCTTAGTGAGGGATCCGGGGATGACGCCGTGACTGGTACGCCAGACCCGGACCTCGATGACACTGAGGTCATCAGTATGAAAGAGATTGAACATGTGATTCGAAGTTTGAAATGTGGTAAGGCTGCGGGACTAGACAGAGTTACTGCTGAAATGGTCAAATATGGTGGGCCTCGCGTCTGGGACAGCTTTCGTCTGCTGTGCAATTTTTTTTTTTTTTTTTTTTATAGGAGAGGGGGCAAACGAGCATGCGGCTCACCTGATGGTAAGTGACTACCGCCGCCCATGAACAACCGCAACACCAGGGGAATTGCAGATGCGTTGCCGGCCTTTTAAAAAGGAGTAGGCTCTTTTCTTGAAGGTCCCTAAGTCGCAATTTGTGCTGGCGGACGGGGGATGTCCCGGATGATTGGCGATCCGCAGTCATTGTGCCTTTATATAAAGGTAAAGGTTCACATTTTGACTGCGGGTGCTATCGGGCGATCAGCTTGACCAGTTTAGCAAGTAAAGTTTACTCGAAGGTTTTGACACGTAGGATGCAAGAGAAATCGGAAAGATTTCTATGGGAGGCACAATGCGGATTTAGACCTGGAAGAGGATGCACGGATCAAATGTTTTCTCTCCGCATGATCACGGAAAAGCTTCTGGCTGCTAACCAGAAGATTTTCTGTGCTTTTGTGGATCTTGAGAAAGCATTTGATAAGGTTGTAAGGAAGAAAATGTGGGAACTGTTGCCGGGGTATGGTGTGGATAGTCAATTGCTAAAGGCTGTGCAGTCTCTTTACTGCGACTGTAAAGCCTGTGTGCGGGTAGGGCATGACCTGTCACCCATGTTTAACGTCCAAACGGGCGTAAAGCAGGGTTGTGTCATGTCTTCCTGGCTGTTCATACTGTATTTCGACAGCTGTTTACAGAAGCTGAAAGATAGTTGTTTGGGTGTGAAATTGGGTGACATTAAAGTAAATTGTCTGCTGTATGCTGATGATGCAGTGCTTATTGCACCATCAGAGGCAGAACTGCAGGCATTAGTCACGTGTATGAAAGAGGAATGTGAAATTAAAGGTCTCCGTTTCATCATCATCATCATTACAGCCCTTCACAAGTCCACTGCTGAACATAGGCCTCCCCCAAAGAATGCCACAAAGCACGGTCCTGAGCCACCTGCATCCATCGACTTCCTGCAAATCTTACCAGGTCGTCACTCCATCTAGTGGGGGGACGCCCTACACTTCGCCTGCCGGTACGAGGCTGCCACTCGAGAACCTTTCTTCCCCATCGGTTGTCGGTTCTTCGAGCTATATGGCCGGCCCATTGCCACTTCAGCTTACTAATCCGTTGGGCTATGTCGGTCACTCTGGTTCTACTGCGGATATCCTCATTTCTGAGTTTATCACGCAGAGAAACTCCGAGCATAGCCCTCTCCATAGCTCGCTGAGCGACCTTGAGCTTCCTCATCCGGCCAGCAGTGAAGGACCACGTCTCAGTTCCGTATGTCATCACTGGCAACACGCACTGGGTGTACAGTCTCGTTTTCAAGTTTTGAGGTATACCTGACGAGAAGATGTGCCGTAATTTCCCGAACGCTGCCCAACCGAGTTGAATCCGTCGATTGACCTCTCGGTCGAAGTTGGACTTACCTAATCGGACTATTTGTCCCAGGTAAACATACTCGTCAACAACTTCGAGCTTAGTGTTCCCAACAACTACCGGCATAGGTGTGACATGGACATTAAACATGATCTTTGTTTTGTCCATGTTCATCTTAAGACCTATCCGTTGGGAAACACTATTGAGGTCATTGAGCATAGTGCTTAGGTCCTCCAGCGATTCTGCCATAAGGACTATATCGTCGGCAAATCGAAGGTGAGTGATGTACTCGCCATTGATGTTGATACCGTATCCTTTCCAGTCCAGAAGCTTGAAAACATCTTCCAATGCAGCGGTGAAGAGTTTCGGGGATATGACGTCACCCTGTCTTACACCTCTCTGCAATTGGATAGGTTTCGTACTCTGGTTCTGTACTCGGATAGCCATCGTAGCCCTACTGTACAAGCACTTCAACACTTCGATATACCGACAGTCAACTTGGCATCGCTGAAGGGACTGCAGCACCGCCCAAATTTCGACGGAATCAAAGGCTTTCTCATAGTCCACATACGCCAGACATAGTGGCAAATTGTACTCTTCGGACTTCTGTACAATTTGCCTAAGGGTATGTATGTGGTCTATGGTGCTAAAGCCTTTTCGGAAACCGGCTTGTTCGGGAGGCTGGAAGTCGTCAAGTCTGCGCGCGAGACGATTCGTAATGACTCTCGAAAACAGCACGTAGACGCGGCTCAGAAGGGAAATCGGTCTGTAGTTCTTCAAAAGAGCGTTGTCGCCTTTCTTGAAGAACAAGACCACCGCACTTCTGCTCCACGCCTCCGGTGTAATGCCACCATGGAGGACGGAATTAAAGAGCTTCTGAAGGACTTCATGTACCGGTTTTCCACCCGCTTTCAGAAGCTCCGCTGTAATTCCATCCTGGCCTGGGGCCTTGCCGTTTTTAAGGTGCTGGAGAGCCATTCTAATCTCGCTCAGACTGACGTCCGGGATATCATCGGAATAATGTCGGATAAGACTCGCTCTTGGATCGTTACTCACACTTGCGTGTGGCTCCAACGATGACGTGTACAGCTGCCCATAGAACCTCTCAATCTCACTCAAAATCTCAGGTGCCCCGGAAACGATGCTGCCACATTCGGTCTTCAGCTTTGACAGTTGGCTCTTTCTGGCAGACAGATCTCTGGCAAAGACTTTGGAGCCTTGGTTCCGCTCGATCGCTTCTTCAATACGAGCTGTATTGAAGTTGCGTAAGTCCCGCCGCATGCATTTGGAGATCTGTCTGTTCAGTTGCCTGTATGCTGTCAAATCTGTTGAAGAATGTAGCTTCATCTCCCGTCTAACAGCCATGAGATTAAGAGTGTGTCTAACAGCCATGAGATTAAGAGCCATGAGATTCCGTTTGAATGCTAATAAAACTAAGGTTCTGGTATTTGAAAGGGACGAAGAGAGAACGAAGTGTGAAATATGGGTAAATCAGGAATGTCTAGAACAGGTAAATGAAATTGTATACTTGGGGAGTGCTTTTAGTCGGGATGGAAGATGTGATTTAGATGTGGACAGGCGTGTCGCTGCCGGGAACAAAGTCAATGGTGCCCTGGCTGCGTTAGTCAAAAGGCAAGGCGTAGCGAAGAGTGCACGCCTTGCAATACATAACGCAGTGTTGGTACCGACTTTGTTATATGGCAGCGAAACCTGGGTATGCCAGAAGAAGCATAAAAATAAGTTGAATGCAGTGGAGATGCGATCTCTTCGTAAAATGTGCGGCGTTACCATGGCCGACCGAAAGCGAAACGAAGAGATTCGCAATATGGCAGGTTTGAAAGATGACCTTATCACAAAAATTGATAAGGGCGTGCTTCGGTGGTTTGGGCACGTTTTGCGAATGAGTGAAGACCGAATGGTGAAGAAAATATATAGCGCGAAAGTTAATATTAAAAGGGGTCGAGGTAGACCGAGACTAACTTTCGAAGACCATGTGAGCAAATTGCTCGAAGAGGGTAGGGTCAAAAGTACTCGGATACTTAGACGTGCATGCATGAAGAAGATAATGAATCTGAAAGAAGCGAAAGAGGTATGTAAGGATCGTGACACTTGGCGATCTGTTCTCTCTGGCTACCCCGTCAGGGATTGTGCGTGAAGATAAGTAAGTAAGTAAACCTATCTCCCAGCTTTAAGATTCATAATTTAGAATAAACTTTTGTTACAATTACGACGTAGCAATTTTTTTTAGATAAGTGGGGGGGGGGGGGGCAAACGAGCATGCGGCTCACCTGATGGTAAGTGTCGACCGTCCGCCCTACTACTGAACCTACCTGTAGACTTCTGTGGTTTTCCACCAGAGCGGTAGACCGATGATAATGAGTACTCCAACGAAGGACGCGCTAGCCCACATACGACTCGATTCTGGAACAATGCAATGATTACGTTAAACATAATACACAAAGTTAAAGACTTAGCTAAGAGCTACCAAGTAGCGACAGCCACAGCAGAGTCTACTTCACCTGAGGATGCCCCGTTTAGAGGCGAAACAAATGTCGTGTTATCGACGGTGGAGTGTCTTTTCTAATGTAGTGGTGCTGGGATTAGTGGTGACGGGGATAGTGCACGCAATTGAGGGAGGGCGGGAGGTGCTCTTCAAACTAGGTAAGACAACATTTTACTTCATTACGCGGATCTTTGCTAATACATCTAAACGTGGTAGAGCCATCCTACAGTTATATTAGTAGTATAGTTGTAGCACGAATTGGTCGGCTCGACCGGGGAAGGACCAAGCTCTCACACTATACCAGCGTAAAATGGCGGCTTGATACTGCTGTGTTTCGTATGGTGAGTGTAGAGAACCGGAGACCCATTTTACTGGAAAAGAGGCATTCCACCTTAGTCCTCACGGGTGACGACCCATCTGCATTTTAATTATTTATTGAGGATAAATGTAGATGTCTATGGGTCACAGCAACCACTTACCATCAGGTGGACTGTGTGCTCGTTGGTCACCCTATCCTATAAAAAAAAAATACATTTTAACATATTTAACATAATGGATTTATGCGAAATAACACATGATTCTATTAATCATAATACATAATACACAATACACCCACCTCCACTTCGCATACTCCTCCACCAAAGCAATTTTTAAACACGCATTTCTTTAGACAATAAATAAGCGATGAAACGTTCTATTAATAATTTCAACTTCAAAGGAAGCGCCGACGCCATGATAAATATTATTTTATATTTATTAATTCTAAACTGGTTTGCGGCATGTTTGCGGCATATGATATCTTTATTTACTGTCACAAAAAAAATTGAATAAGTGATTATGTCGGGTTGGTTCTTGTCTCCTGGATTTTTTAATTACAATGTGAACACGCAAACTTATTTTCTACACTATCACTAATAGTCTCTAATAGTAGATTTCGGTCAGTTAAGTAAAAAGGAAAGCGCACAATACACACCGGATGGTACGTGGATGCTGTGGCCCATAAAATCAACTATTCTCGGATAAGAATCCAAGTGCAGATGTGTTGTCATCTCTGACTACTAATATGGACGGGATGAAGATATTATGTCTTGGACCGTATTAGGTAGTTATTTCAGAAGGATGACAGAGTTTAAATAAGAGTGATAGGGTACAAAATAAGTGTGACAATCGAGCACATAGTTCAACTGATGGTGAGTGGATAACAAACAAGTTTTCATCCTTGTGGACTAGGATGGAGTGAATGATTGGACCAGTTTCGACTAAAAAGTTAAAAAATAGTTAGTTATAGACTATATACGTCCCACTGCTCGGCACAGTCCTCCTCTAATTTCTGAGAGGGTTTTAAGGCAAGGAAATGTGTGTTGGCGAACTTCACATGTTTTGGAAATACTTTTTTTTTCTTATTTCTCAGACATGCAGGTTCCCTCACGATGTTTTCCTTCACCGCCGACCACGTGGTAAATCAGCACTTAAAACAATTTCATTGGTGCCGGCGGGGATCGTACCCGGGTTGCTCGCGTACTGTGAAATTTACCGCGAGCGCTAACCATTTGAGCTACCATGGCTCAAAAAGGTTTCGAATAAAAAGGGTATTTAATTCTTGTCTGCCACCGTACTAAGCACAACGACATTATACTGCAATTTAACGCTGGTATTCTATGCGAGCGTGGTCCTTCCCCGGCCGAGCTGACTTAAGCCCAGACTATTGAACTTGAATGCACACAGTCCACCTGATGGTAAGTGATGGCTGTGATTCATATACATCTACATCTATCCTCAATAAAGAATCAAAATGTAGATGCGTTGTCACGCGCGAGGATTAAGATGGAATGCCTCTTGCAGTAAAAAGAGTCTCCGGTTCTCTACACTCACTATACGAAACACAGCAGAATTAAGCTGCTATTTAACGCTGGTATTCTGTGAGAGCGTGGTCCTTCCCTGGTCGAGCCGACCCATTCGTGCTACAACTACACTACTGACATAGTTGCAGCATGGCTCTACCTCGTATAAATTGAGTGATATAATAACTTATTCTAGATTATGAAGTACTGATTCCTTAAAAAAACATTATTCGAATGCTTACAATGCGCAAATAAATTAGGCTAAGTGATAACAATGTGAGGCAATCCGAGACAATCTGCTTACGCACATCGCACATCATTCAACAACTGCGGTGCGGCGACACAATGCGCTATATTTACAAAACCGTTTGCGAGAATCGGCTGGAATATCAGTGCAGCGCCTCTCAGGTGTTAAATTTCAATATTAAGAAGTGGGTATTCAAACACATTAACAAACGCAGTGATTGTAAATTCTAAGGCATTAACTACGAAACAACGGCGATATCAATTGACAAACATTATGTTGTAATGCTCTGTGAATGGTCTTTGAAGTGAACTTGTTTAGAATTGTTGTGATTTGAAACTCAATGAAATAAAAAAGCGACACTAAAGAGTCAAACATATACATCTGAAGGATTTAGCCTGTGAGAGAATGAGAATGAATACAGTATACATTTTTTTCTATTGTCTCGGTCTCTTTTTCTAAATGTTTCAATTCTACCGCGTGTAAAACGTGTAAACTGCACGCAAGCTTTTTTTTTAAATTCATACCACGCATATCTACATATGGTAGACATTTTTTCTTTTTCTTTTTTTTTATAAAAATGATGCGACAAACGAACTTGCAGTTCGTAGATACCTGCAGTCAAATTTAAACAAAGAAGCCTACAGATGCGTTATAGCTCTCGAGACCTGTATAGAGTATTTTATCTCAAAAACATGGATTAGTTTTTTTCTCGAGAAACCGAATAATTGATCAAGTACCTAAATGATCGTTGTTCATTATCTTAAATCCAGATAGCGGCACTTTAATACATCACTAGTTATAAATAAATTAGTGTCAAGTTTGCCGCATGCTCTTCGATGAAAGAAAACCTGATTTGAGGAATAGAATTACAAACTGCGTAGTAAGTATCTAAGTTTAAGAAGGTCGGGTGTTAAGTGGTCGCGTACGTAATTGATATCAATTTACACGTAGCCTCGTGTCAATAGACAACGTCTTCAGGCATCTACGTCAAATGAACTAATAGCATCATACTGGCCAGTACTGGCCTCGTATATTTTGATGAAATGATATGTGATGAATTAAAAACATGTAAACAAATGACGCATGGGAAAACTCTGAGGTCTTAAACGAGCACACTGTACACCTGATGGTTAGCGTATGCTGTGGACCATAAACATCTACATCTATCTTCGATAAAGAATCAAAATATACATGCGTTGTCACCCCTGACCCTGAGTACTAAAATAGAATGCTTCATTTCCAGTACAAAGGGTCTCCGGTTCTCTACATGCAACTACATACAAAAGCTAAATGCTATGGTTTGTTATTAAAATCTATACAAATAAATAAAATTGAAGTGTCTGTTTGTAATGTCAAAATTAGAGCTTTTTACATGCATATGAAAGTATATACGGTATTAATAGCAAAAATACAACTTTGTTGTTTTTGTCTGTCTGTCTGTCTATCTAATCTCCGAAACGGCTGGACCCATTTTGACGGGATTTTCACTGGCAGATAGCTGATGTCACAAGAAGTAACTGAGGCTACTTTTATTTTAGAAAAAGAATTAGGGATCCGCGCAAAAAAATTAAAACGCCAAATAACACGTGGGCGAAGTCGCAGGGATAGGCTAGTAATTAAATAATAACCATATGACATATTGCCTTGTGGCGGCGTAAGAAATCCATCAGCTCATTTCTCCACGTGGGTGTCGTAACAAGTCATCATGGGAAATGCCAAAAAAATCTTATGGTTTCTGATAGAGGACGGTATAATGACCCGGTTATGCCAGTCATGAAATGACGGTCATTAGTCCAGCAACGGACAGTTGCATCAATGGAGAGACTTCTGGTACCGCGATCGTCAATACGCCAGGAAAGCGGTTTGGACATGACAACGGGAGAGGGCCATGCCCAGCAGTAGACTTACACGGCTTAATAAAGAAGACGAAGAGCGCGAAGAACCGACAACCAATATTGTAGAAAGGTCTTGAGTAGCAGCCTCATACCGGTAAACCTCAAGAGGGAATTTAGGACGACTCCTCACTAGACGATGATGATGACCTACTCAGACATTCAGACATGCAGGAAGTTGATGGATGCAGGTCGTTCATGATCGTATTGAGGGATTCCTTCGAGGTGGGAGAAGGTTGGTATCTCTCCACAACTGTGCTATTGTCTGCATACCCATAGATATCGTGCATAAGCAGATCATTAATATGCAGCAGGAAGAGAGTTGCGGAGAGAACGGACCCCTGAGGAACATCGGCGTTAGTCGCCATAGGATCGGATGAGCAGCCATCGACGACGACCCGGAGGGACCGTTCACTCAGAAAGTCCTTTACCCAGTCAACCAGGGGATAAGCCGTACGCTGGAAGCTTACCCAAAAGGCTAGTGTGTCACTGTCAAAGACCTTCGAGACATCAAGGGAAGCAGCAAGTGCTTCCCCGCTGTTCTCGAGTGCCTCGTCCCGTACGTGTGTGGCATACGTTATGCTTCCTCTACACTACTCGCGAAGTAACTTCGTGACCACACACTCGTGCTACTTCGCGAAGAGCTCAGTCATCTTGAGACTCCCGCACCCTTAACATGAATGACGTTCAAGAGGCAGCTGCTATAGGTACCTAATTATGTGAACATTACGACGTCAATGCGTTAACTAAACAAATAATTATGTAGAAAGCTACATATTTAATATTTATATATTAAAAAAAATTCATAACTGGCGTAAGCCGAGTAGTGTAGAGAGACGCTTCGTGTAACTTCGGGGTACTTCGCGAAGTCCTTTGACTCTGGCGCAAAAAACCGACAGCGATCGGAAGTGGCCCGAGGCGAAGCGC